GTAGGAAAACAATTTGAAAAGAGACTTGAAAATAGTTTTGTAAAACAACAGAGGAGTTATTCAATAAGACAGTTTTGAAAAGAGTAGGGCAATCAACAAACAACAGACCAACCTCAGAACCAAAACAGGTTCAGCATCACACATAGAACAAAGAACTAAGACAGGTTTAGCACCACAAGCCTTCACACTGGGGTAAATGGGAATTGGGGACAGGTAAAACACATAATGGTAGACACATAGCAGGCAAAAGTCTTTGGAATTGGTACAGATATGCTCAGAAACACTGATTAGACATAGTCACAGAATCAGCAATGCTTAAGAGGTTCAATATAGGATCAACATAATTTAAAATCAATCCAAGAATCATACAAGTTTAGGAGTGCAGACTACTTTACAAGGAGATTCATACCAGAAACCAGATAGAGCAAGATCACATGGAGACACACTACATAGAGGGGGATAACATATTCATACTGATCCTAAGGAAGGGGATACATAACATGCTGATAATGTAAACATATCAACTACAGGTTTCACAGCAAAACCATAAGTAAAAGCAGACTAGAAACAGGATGAAATGAAGTAATAAAAGAACCATATTATTTTTGAAACTTGAATTGAAATCAGAACATACCAGTAAAGAAGGTAGTAAACACAAAGTGAGGAGCAAGAGAGTAGAGTAATCAACCTTGGCTTGCAGCCGGCTGACTTAGAACAATAGCAAGTAACCAGAGAAAAGAGAGCAGAAGAGTGTTTTTTGTGTGAGAGAGAGTTTTTTGAACCAATGTGTTCATGTGTCTTGTGTTAGTGAAAGAGCAGGGTATTTATAGTTTGAAAACAGGCAGAAAATAAGGCAAGAGTCAAAGTTCAGCAATAATTATGAAACCATGTACTAATTAGAATCAAATCAATGCAAGTACTCCCTTAATTAAGGGGTAATTAACCAACGATAATGGGCAGAAAATATTTAAGGAAAGAAATCAAGTAAGGCATTAGGTATAAAATAAACAATTAGGGGTAAATACACAAGGGTTTAACTAAGGAAATAATTAGTGAAGAATCAGCACATAACACGGTTAACCCAAATAAGGTAAGAAAACTAAATAAGGTTGCAGAATATGAAAACAATCGAGAATCAGCATATAGCAAATCAGTGAATCAAGGACACGAACTAATACTGAATTAAGGAGAATAACGTAGGTTCCCATGAATAAACAAATAATTCAAGTTTAAACAGGGAGAATTGAAGGTCTAAAGGAAAGTTTTCAAATCAAGCCAAGAAACAGGGAACTCAGAATCAATCAAAGAGAGAGTCATGAGTCAATGTTTTAGCATATAAATAGAGTAAGACAAGAATAACCAGAGATCGACACATCACTCTAGCAAACATGAAGGTTAAACAGCACTGATAGAAAGAGGCAAGTCTTGAACAGTCAAGATGAACACAAGCACATAGAGTTGATGTAAGTTAGGCTAAGAAACTCAGTGGAAACATATTCGAGGCAAGATAGTCACAGAAACTCAAACAAGAACCGGCCAGTCATGCTGATACATAGAACCAAACGAAGAAACCTAGAAAAATTAGGGCTTTCAACATAGACGAGTTAAAGATGTAATAAACTCATAGAATCAGTTAAAATAATGCAAGAAATAGAAGTTTAAACACAAAGAATCAATTAAACAAGGTTTTAAAAAGAAGTTCTGAAACCCTATTTTTAGAAGAAGGTGAAAAACACTTGAAATCAACGATTCTTGTAAAGAATCTCAAGGACAGTGTAAAACATTAAAGAAACAAACTCAAATCGTCCTAAATCTGTACAGATCTAGGAGGTATAGAAGAAGAAGTTAGGGTTTCGAGAGAAATCCACATAGAGATGAAGAAACCTGCTTAGAAACCCAAGGATCGTAGCAAATATAGCATGATTTTGCTTGAAATCACACTGGAGTAGCCAAGAACAGTCAGGTGATGAACCCTAGATGCAAGTCGGCATGGCCCTAGGCCCTTGAAGACCTTAGAGGAGGCAGGCATGGCATGAGAGAGGCCATTGGAGGCTTAAGAGAAGATGAGAGGTCATCGGAGATGACCGGAGATGGGAGGTCGGCGGTTGAAGGGCTAGGGTTAGGTTGAGAGTGTACTGAGAGTAGAGAGGATTTTAGGGAGGCGGTATATGGAAAATGATTAGGGTTAGAGGTTGTTTAGAATTAAAAAAGGAAAGAACCAACGAGGGCCGTTGATCTTTTAGATCAACGGCCAGGATCTGATGGGGCCTTGGGTCGGGTAGGATTAATGGATTGGGCCTGGGATGTTTGGGCTGATTTAACTGGGTTTGGGGCTGGTTCAATTTAGGCTAGAATTGAAATGAAATTGGCTATTTGTTAAATACCCAATTAAATTAATTAAGATAATTTACAAAGTAGGTAATAATTATAAAAAATGAATTTCATGCACAGAAAATAATTAAAAAATGATTATTTAATATTTTAAATACAAATGATTAATTTCCGGTCAAAATAGTATAAAATCATATGCTTGGACTATAATTGCAAAGTTATTGCAATTGTAGCCAAACGATGCCAATTTGGCTGATTATGAAATAATTTGGTTTAAATAGGACCATAAATAATAAATTAGATCAAGAAATGCTTTTGAAATCACTTGTGATGCAATTCTGTAATTATTTATTAGAAATAAAATGCTGGGTAAATTAATAAAATATAGAAAAATTATGGAAAAATACCAATTGCTATTGATGCATGATTTTGAAGGTATATATGCACTTTTAAAAATATTTTGGGAAAAAATTGGGTATCAACAATGCTTGCACTAAATATTTTCTGTTCTTCATTTAAATTTTTGTTGTGTTTGATCCTAACAAGCTATATTTCACAAGAGCTATTTGGAAATGCCCTTATTTTCGCTCCCTTTTAGCTGATGACTTCGATAGGTTTCCAGGTCCAATTGTATTTGCTGCTATTCGTGTGTGGGCAGCACATCCAAGGATGTGAAATTATATTACATTGGGCTTTCCCCTCTATCCCAGTTGCTCATTTTTAATCAAGGGAAACTTACACAAATGTCCCAAATAAATCTCAACTTACCAACCTCTAGCCATTAGTCATAAACTTACCAAACTAGCCAACAAAAATTGAAAAACCAAATAATAGGGTTCTTTCTCTCAAAGAATCACATGCAAAAATCACCTTCCATATTTTTAAGCGTGATTAGCAACATTAGATACAAGACGGAAAGGAACTTTCATGGACGGGGGTAGCAAATAAGGTGATGAAATACAAAAACCTATACAATATTTCAAAAATCTAAATAAAAAAGGAATTTTTTCAATGGATATAGTTGAAATTCATTGAAAATATATAGATAAGTCAATATACAAAATTTGAGGAAGATTGGAGGTGATTTGGACTAGTTTTGTATCAAAATTCGTAATTAAATCGAGTTCAAAAAAGTCTTCTGCGACACATGTATCAAACATGTATCATGCATGTATCTCACACACAGGTATACATGGATATACATGTGATACACAATTGATACAAATATGATATATATGTGATACACAAATGATACATAGTGTGATACACATATAATTTTTTTTCATGTTCAGCTTTTACTTCGAATTTTTAATTCAAACCACCTCAAAACTTCACCAAATCATCCCAAAACTGAGATTCAAGGTCCTTAAGTTGTGCCCAATCTATTCTAATAACACCCACTCAAAACAAAGCAAAAATTTGATATTTTTTTGCTACAAATAGCTAATTGGCTAATTTGGCTAATATTAGTAATATTTTACCAATTGGCCAATTTTTGTAATGAGCCACTTATAAATGGACATAGCTGGTAATTCCCCTTTAATCAACCCATGAACTTTCTTCTAGATAGCTTTGTAACTTAATTGATTCTCCAATTTCCTTTATTTAACTTTACACTATACCCGCATTATTTCATAACATTTGAACTTCACATATGACTTTGAACGCTAGAAAATTAGATGATTCATGAATATGCGTAGAATGCTTTAGGCACTTAATCTATTTATCGTAATTGTTTACACGTTCGCGTGACATAATTATGATTCTCAAAAATAAATCAAGGTACACGTTTGCGCGACTTTAGCCAAACAATCTTGAATGATAATAAAGTGTTATTAATTATGTACATGTACGCGTGACATAATTCTTAGCGCCAAATAAAACGGATTTACACACATGTAATCCGTTTCAAAGATTAAATCCATAAAACGCCATAATTAAAAGTGGTAAAAGGTAAACGTACGTAAGTTCTAAAATGAGCAATTAAACAAATTAATTAAGCCTGGTATGATTAAAGCGACCATGCTAAAATCACGAAATCCGAAAATGCCTAACACCTTCTCCTGGGTCAACAGAATTCCTTATCCGGTCTTCTGGTTTTCGTAGACTTTAAACAGAGTCAAATTTTCTCGATTTGGGATTTTAAAGTAAACCGGTGACTTGGGACACAATAAAATTATCCCAAGTGACAACTCTAAATTAAATAAATAATCTCATTTCGAATAATATCACTTTAATTGAAAAAACTCCCTATTCCCTATCCCTCGGGAAAAAGGAGGTGTGACAGATACTAAATAGAAAGAGGAGTTCTTCACTGCATTAGCTATTACTGTTAGGGCTCGTTTGATACGAGGGATAAAGGATAATTGATCCCAGAATTAAATTTGTACTGAGTTTATCCCATATTTAGTTGTGATAAAATTGTGGTACTACTAATCCCGAGATTAGTTATCCCAGAATTGTAGTGTTATTTTTATCCCTATGAGAGGGTGAAGTAATAATCATGGGATAACTTGTTTCCCAACCAAACGACCCCTTAGTATTTGTCAAGAAGGACCACATAAACCGCCCTTGAGAGATTTTAAGGGATTTTTCTTTTCCAGCCTTGTATTTGCGCAGTTTTTATACTCTCTGTTTTCATATTTTAAGAATGATACAGAGATGCTTAATGGAGAAGCGATCAAAATGATTTAACTTCAGTAATCTGCATAATTACATTTACCTCTCTAATAAGATACAAAGCTATACGAGGAAAGTGTGATGCGTGGTTGGTCTAATACAACTTAAACAATGTAGACCATCCCAACTTCAAGAAGGGAAGCTGGAGGCACCTTGAGGGATACATCTGCACCCCTACAATTCCTCCTAAGGAAATTATAACCATAATTAATAGCCAACCTCTTCAACATAGATGATCCTTGTTTTGCTTTCACATGTGAATGTCCTAGCACAAATGCTGTCCCAGCTTGTTGTGCTGCATACAAATCTTCTAGCTCCTCCTGCAGCTGAGCATCCATTTCTTCCCGTGAATCGACTTCCGACTCATTATCTATGGCAAACCTCACTCTTCTTTCCACTGGTTGCATCTCGATGACATCCGTCACACTTTCAGCTGTAGGGAACCCGACAGACACACTTGCCGGTTGCACATTGTCCTCGAGCTCGAAAGCTGCTGTGCCTGAGAAAGCCAGAGTTCCTATAACGGTCAGTCTGCATTCTCCCGATGATGCACCAGACCGTGAGCCGTCATCCTCGTCTATGACTCCGTGTGTCTTGTACCAATCATACCGGATGAAATCAGCCAGTCTACTGACCAGTTCGGATTCAAAGGAGTCGACATCCTGGTGAACGTCACGGTAACCATAACGGACGATGCATCTATAGGAACGATGAGCTGCAGGACCAACGCGGCCTACAAGGTATCTCTCAGCGGGGGGCACAAAAGGGACAGGCACGGATTTCACACACACAAAAACAAGTATGCGGTGGTAGGCGGGGAGGTTGGTAACGAAACGGGAGAAGTTGGCAGGAATCCCAGAAGTCAAATCAGTGAATACGAGGCCGATACCAGGGACTCGAGTAATACCCAAGCTTGGACCTAGTGCCAGCAGCCATTCTAATGAAACCTTATTATGGAGATCATATTCATACTTTTTAACTGTGGCATAATGCCAAACAAACATGACAGTAACCAAAAAGAGTGCAAGCAGGATTGGAAGCCAAGCGCCTTCAAGAAACTTAATGACGGAGGCTGAGAAGTAGAGTAACTCAATAGATCCAAACAGAAGGAGAAATCCAAGGGCCAGTATTGGAGGCTTGTTCCAGCAGAGGATGATAACTAATGAAGTAAGGCAAGTGGTCACCAGCATCACCGCCATCACTGCTAGTCCTGCAATTGATAAAGGAAGAAACTGCGACACCTTAAAATTATACACTGAAATAGCAAGTTAAGTGCTTGCTGAACTTCTATACAGCTTCATAATCATAAAGAACAGGGGGGAAGAGAGACAAATAGAAAAAGAAAACAAAAAGGAGCTATTTAGGCTGAGACGGAAAAATGACCGACAGTAGACAGTATTTGATGCCTTTATAAAGTGGTTTTTGGAGAAAGCATGGTTGGTTCTAGTACCTGACGCATTTCCCATGTGCTTTGTATCTCTGAATCCAATAGTCACAGCAACACAAAGAATCATGAGTATCCAATTGATCTCGGGAATGTATATCTGGCCATGTATTTTGGCAGAGGTGTGAACAACCTTGACTCTTGGGAAGCAGCCAAGAGATTGACTCTGGTTGATAATTGAGAATGTTCCGCTGATGATTGCCTGACTTCCCACAACGGAAGCCAGAATTGCTATTACTAGCACTGGCCATCTCACACAATCTACAATTGCAATTAAATGAAAAAAGAAGGAATAACTCAATGATAAAATATGTTTCAAATTCAAATGAAAATGGATAAACATGATCAAGAAGCTTGCTCTACAAAACCAGCTTGTGTTCATGGTAAAAAAAAATTAACTACTACTAGTAGTTATCTAGGTAGGAATGGCAGGCGGTGCGGGTGCGGTCTGAACCCGTGCAATTTAAACCCGCCCCGCCCCGCATAGGATTTAAACCCGCACTCCACCCGCGTTCACCCGCCCGCCCCGCCCCGCAAATTTTTTTAATAAAATTTTTTCTTTTTTCAGAAAGCTAGACTTAAATCTGATTTTTTTAACAAAACAATTAATTATATCCAAATTGTTCTCTCTTTCTTTCATATACTTAGCTTTTTGAAGTAGCCTTTTTGCTTGTCATTGCTTTTCAGTGCACAATGTATCAGTTCGATTAAATATATAGTTTTTAGATCAGGAAGCAGAATTATCTTGATAAGAATTGAGGCCAGCTAACTTCTGCAAAGGCTGATAGCAATCGGACAGAAACATGGAAAATGCACATGGAAAAGCAGTTTAGCAATTACTATTTCAGGTTCAAGTGCTGATGGAAAAGCAGTTTTCCTCATTCTATAAAACCCCACCTACGACCCGCTCCGCCCCGCGTTAATTTTTTTTTTTTTTTTAAAAAGTGAACCCGCCCCGCAACCGCAAACTCTCAAACCCGCACCGCCCCGCTAACGTTCAAACCTGCCCCGCCCCATTGCCAATCTAGGCCCAATCCCACCCATTCAACGCCTTAATGCAGTAAATACTATGGAAATACCCACGACTTGATTGAGGATAGACCAGACTTGGCTCATTATTTAGAAAAATCATTTCCAGAGTCCATGCCCTCACAATAAGCACTTGTCCACTTCACATGTCTTAATGCAAGAACTGGATAACAGTCCAAAAATAATTATTCCCTCCATCCTAATTTATGCAACACTTTTCGCTTCTCGAGAGTCAATTTGACTAATCTTTGAAGCTAAATTGAATCAGATCAACCCAATATTTTAAAATTAAAATTTAGTTATTAAAAAGCTACATGAAAAGTACTATAGTTGCACTTCTTCTCATGTCAATATAATGAAAATATACATTTTAAAATGTTGGTCAAAGTTCTCACTATTTGAGTTTAGCGAAATGAAAAGTGCCACATAAATTGGGACAGGGGGAGTATCATGTTTAGATGTCAGGTCATTCAGGTTTCAACTTCATACATAAACAGTTACATCATGAAGGACTTGAATAAGTTAAATAAGACATTTCCAAGGATATCAACTACAATGTTGGCAATTTCTGCTGACAATGAAATTCTCACATACTAGAGCAGTGATTGTCTTTGTGTTCAGGGTAGCTAATTTTCTGTACTAATGATGATCCATGCATTGGGAATGTCATTTAGAATTGTATGGATGGTAGTAGACATCCCTAGAAACTGATATCCTCTTCTTTGAATGTAAAACTTTTACTCCCTCGGTCCCAACAATCTTTCCATTTTAAGATATCACAAATGTTTGACCATTTCACTGGTGATATTATTCTATTATCTATATATATATATATATCTTTCAGAACTTCCAACATATCAACTTCATTTAACCATCAAATCTTAAAGATGTTTTCCCTCACTTCCCAACCAAAGATTCAGTATTTTTCTTTCCTCCACCGATAAAGGTTCATCCCGAGTCACAAGAGCAATCTCTTTCTTTTTTTGAATTCTTTTTTCTTTTCGTTATGGTAATTGCCTGGATGAAAATACAATAGATGAATAGTCATTCCCTTCCCCCTGCCGGAGCTCCCCGAACCTGAAGTGGAAGTCGAGGGCCTTCCTCTACTGGAGAAAATGAAAAAGAGTTCCACTATAACTACTATATTATACACGTCCTCTTTTTTATTTTTAGGACGAGCTATATTATACATATCAAATAAATTACTATCTTAAACTCAATATCTAGTTAAATACAAAATATAAAATGGGTTGAAAGAACTACTTGTGCCTCTTGAAAAGAGATGTACACAAATTTATCTACTGAAGTGTTTAAACTGAAAGCTCAAACCCCATCCAGAAAAGTACAGTACCAAGCAATCAAGTTAAAACGAGTAGATTAGTCAGCCCACATCAAACATAGCTATGCATGCCCTTGTACCACATGTACTTGATTAATATTGTTTCCTCTACCAACTGATTGAATGAAAAATGTTACCTGGAACTGATACATAGAAACCAATCTTGTGAATGGTGTGGTGATGCTTTGATAAGAAAGCTGCTTGACCCATATATGCCAAAATTAACGCTGGATAAACCAGAAAGGTGAATGCAATCTGTGGCAAGATAACAAATTAGAAATCCAATCTACTGCTGTAGGCATTAAGAAGGACAAAACATTGGTTCATGGAGTTTACTTGAATTGCAGAATATGAGAAATGCCCAAGATCAGCAAACATTGCTTCAGACCCTGTTGTACGATAATAAAACATTTCAACATTCATTGATGAAACACTGGGTAATCGTTGCAGTGACTAACTGTCCTATATAGTAGTACACTGTTGATATCGTGATTATACCCTAACCAAGGCTAGATATATATCCTTCACATTTTAGCTTCAAATACTATCAAAGCACGACAAAGGTGGACAACGATGAATATCAAATTATTACAAGTATCAGGCCAACATTACATCCATATATTTGACCAATCTTTCGAGCTATATTGGATATAGAATTAATTCATTTATTTCAATGTAAAACTCAGACATTCTGAAACTACATAAGAGAAATAAAAGTTGCAACTTTTTCCATGTCAAAGTGATGAAAGAATACATAAAAAATTCTCAAAGATAACTTCGCTTAGCTCTTGGAAACGGAAGACAGACAGCCATTTTGTGACACAGAGAGTACATTTAAGCAATTGGCTGATTGTATTATATGAACCTGGACTGAACAGATGCTTCATCTGTTTAGTCCTGATTCACATATATGCATTTTCCAAGCAAGTAATCTCATGCTACAAATTTCAATCAAGTCCAGGTTGATGCTGCATGCTAAACTTATTTCATGTTAATCTTTACTAGAATAGACGTCAACTAATCCTGGGACCATAGCTCACGTGCTACCGCAAATTTGACCCTATATTTTGCCAATTGACTTGCTTTTAAATGCCACAGAACATGCACCTGACTTGCTTTTAAAAGTGATGCAAGGTAGAATAGCATCACTTTTGTAATGTTCTAGCTGGTAGCACCTGATTTATATAAAAGCTCCATACTTGACTTCAGAGTATATATCAAAAAAACAGAATTTATGACCGAAGTAATACAAAAAACCAAGTATAAGAAGATATATTACCAGTTATGCAGAGGAGAATTCCACCCAAAGACATCCATCCTCCTTTTCTTGTTTTCTTCAGGAACTTTACCATGTAGCAGGGGGAAAGAGCTTTATAAACAAGTGGATTCCAGTGGATAATGTTGTATAATCCAAGAGCACTAATGCAGAGTAACCAGATCAACACAATTGGTGCAAAACAAAAACCAACTCGATGTGTGCCATAATGTTGTAACGCAAACAGACAGACTAATATGAAGCAAGTTATTGGAATCACTGCATCTGCATAAGAAAAAACATGGATGTAAGTAGATAAAAGTGGAAGTAACAATTTATCACCAACTCTATATGGAATCATAATTAAACAATAACTTCTTTAAAGATATGCGGTGATGAACACTTAAACAGTAAATTACGTCTAAAAAAAAAAGAAATAACCCAGATTTCATTGATGTGCAGTGATGAAGTAGCTTACATTGATGGTGATCCCGAGACATTGATAACTCAAGGCCAGAAACTGCAGAGAAAACTGCACACGAAAGAAGGTTCCGTATCAGCATCTACGATAATTCTAGAGAACATAAATTTAATGGAAAACAGCCTACCAGATATGGCTGGGGTAAGCAGTCCATCTCCAATGACCATACAAGTGCCAAGAAGCACCAAGATAAGCAAAGCAGTATGCAAGAATTTGTGTTTCTCAAGAAGCAACTTCACCCTTGAGCTATTCTTTGTCTCGGGAGGATGCTCAAGTTTGTAGGTAGAAAGAGCTTCATCGGCAACTTGTCTGTTCGGAAGAAGGCTTACTTTGGCATGCCTGCATATTAAGGAATAGAGAGCAAAAGTACCACCTACAGCAGAAAGTCTATAAAGGTCAGTTTAATGACCAAATACTCATTGATTAGACCAAATACCAAAAACATCTTTGTGATTTATGGTACATACCCTCTCCATTATCATCAGCTCGAAGTACGATAAAGACATATTTGAACAAAGGAACTAAGGTTAAAGTCCAAAAAACGAAAGAAAGAACGCCGAAAATCTCTTCGTTGGTCTCGGAATGATGAATGTCTTCTGCAAATGTGCTCTTGTAGACATAGAGAGGGGAAATACTGAGATCCCCATACACTACCCCAAGACTTTGGTATGCCAGAATCAGTGTACTCTTCCAAGATTTCTATGATGCAAAATTAACAAAGCAAAAGGAGAACAATTATGACTGTAATTCATCAATATGATACAAGCTTCAATAAGTCCAAAAACTTAAGCAGATTGAAGAACAGTGAAATATACACACACCTTTGAAGTGTCCCAACACTTCCCGTAGTCGATATCCATTCTCCTCAGCAGCTTCTTGCACTAAGTTGGTTCACTTGAAGTATAAATTCTTTATCATGTGATAAATCCTGAAAGAAACAAAATATTCACAAAGATGTTTGAAGCAACATTTCAATATATAACACCTAATTGGCACTGAGCCATGACTCCACTTTCCATCCCCAAACAAAGAAGTTAAAAGGCATGAAAATCCTTTTTTATTAACCCCACTTGGCCACTTAATGGCTTCAGCTTGCAGCAGAATGCATTTGTGCACAATGCAGGGACAAGAAAAGTAAAAACTGATAGGCATCTGCATTACTTTCTTATTGTAGTTAACAAACAAAACAAGGAAAGGGAAACTTACTCTTTGTTGCCTCTGAAACAAATGGTTAGATTCAACCAAAAGCTACAGCTAAGACTGTGTATTTAACAGTTCCATTTTTTTATTAGCACAGTGTAAAGAAGAGCAAGAAGAAAACAAGAAAACGTACTAGTGTGTGTGTGTGTGTGTGAGATTAACGAAAACCAAAAGCACATGATTCAACGGCAGTTGCATTATCAAATCAATCACACCAAAGTTGAGCCCCACGTAAATTAAGGCTATTTGTAAGGACCATAACAAGTTCCTCCCACCTCGGTCCCCACTCCCCACACATCCCCTCCCACTCTACTCTACATATGTATATGTACAAAATTTACAGGTCACCAAGATAATAGTATACTACAAAATACTACAGTGATATAGTGTAGTAAGTGGATTGCCTAGTTTGCCAAACTCCCAAACCTACACGACTCTTGAGTGCCACATCTATTTGGCAAGAAATGATTAAAAAAATGTTCAAATTGAAACAAAAAAAAAGTTTTTCTTTTTTGCTCCACAATCATGACGTTTATGCAAATTCTTTTATAACCGTAATGTCCAGGCCAACTTGGGACTAATTTCAGGCTACATGTTACCTTCCCACCAATATAATTATGGGTAAATGTTTTTGTATTTGAACCAGACTTCTTATGCCCTCTCAACGCACTTCATCGACCACTAAAAGTCACACTCTTGAGTTCATGACGTTGATGCAATTGACAAACAAAAAGCACATCTTGACATGGCAAAAAGAAGCAAAACGTGAAAATATGAAAAGGGCTGTTTATGAAATACGCATATAGCTTTCACGATGAAAAACTTACCAGAATTGATGTTTGCCTCTAAAGCACAACACAAGCAAAAATGGGGATGAATCTTGGTAAGAGATAGATAGATAGATAGTGAAGTTGAAAAGAACAGGCTCGAAAAGTAACGCTTAATTGTTTTGTACTATTTCTATCTTCTTAAAGATGAGGCAGCAGCACGTGATCAGAACATGGACCCCCTTTTTCCCCTTCTCTTCTCTTCTGCTGTTTGCTCACGATTCCAACGCCTTATCTTACTGCTTAAAATTCCCTTTTTCATATTCTTGTGCTTTTTCACCTTGTGATATTCCCACTGAAAATGACCCTGTAACTAAAACCTACTAATTTGGAAATTATAGTTCCTTAATCAAATTTAAGCTGGTTTAACAGCTAACAAGATTTTAGAATAGTACTATTCATAAATGCATCAGTTATGCTCAGCTGCATAGGCAAACCTAACTTACCAGATCCATATAAAAGCTTAGAAGAAATGCTAGTAAGTACAGTAATAAAAAAGCAGCTGTCCATATTCTGACCCTTTTATCTTCTTGGATTTCTCCCGGAAAATATGTACCCACTATATTATCCTATGACAGATCTAGATGGATATACATTCAAGAACCAATTTACCACTATATAGCCTACTAATGAAAGCTGCTTCTGTTCTGTGTCTGAGTAATACACACAGGAAATAAAGAGAGGAGGGGTAGTGAGAATAATTTCATTATAGAATGTAGTTAGTGATGGCAGGTTAAGAGAGAAACCGACAGATATTCAGGGTGTTTTTGAAAGTGCAGAGCTGACAAAGTGAGAATTGAGAATCTTGGCACTTACATAAAGATGGAGAGTCCGGAACTAAAATGTGGTTTTTTGGACTCAAGTGATGGAAACGTGCGGTAAAAAAACTTAGTGACCAAAATATGTATAACGCCCTTTTAAAGGGCTCTATATCTTAACGGCCGTTTGTCCCATTATATAGATAGCGCTTTTTATTAAGGCGTTATACCTGAATATGAAAAGACAGGAGGGTATGGCGCCTTAATAAAATGCGTTATACATATTTTGTGGGCCAACCAATAACTCTTCTGCGCTTAACTGACATAACAATAATTCAAATATGTAAAACGTGTTTTAAAAGGGCGTTTTACCTCAAAAAATTCGACCCCCGGATTGGGCATTGCCTTATTTAAAGGCGTTAAGAATTTTGCGAAAATCCATTCACAAATATTCTAACTCCTGTTAAATTTTTCTTCTTGTTAAATTCTCAAGCATTTTGTCATAATGTCTTAAGAGCGAAAGTAAGGGTTTCATTATGTTGGTTAGGGGGGGGAGGGGGGGGGGTAGGGGAGGTGAGGTTGTGGTGGTGAATAACTCAGTGAACTATAGTTTATCTCCACAGAGTCATGTTAAGTTGCCACTTACAATGGAGTACGATAGACTAGTATCCTTGTTGTGTAATAAAATAAGTGTGAGCAAATGTTCAGTGAACCTTAAAGTAACCGGAAAATATCCATATTCTGTCACTCCGCAAGGGGTTGCTTGTTACGCTGAGATTAACATCGAGGATGATGAAACTCTGAGAGATTTTTTGGGGACTCCGGATGAATACCGGGAATTAATTTTGATAGAAATGTTGGAAATGTACGTGAAGGTTGAAGGGGTTCGCTATAATGAGGTTGCGCAAAGCAGGGATAACCTCAATCATTGGGTGGTTATTCTAGAGCAGTTTTAGCCGAGCAGGTTCCTACTGAAAGAGTTTGATCGGATCTAAACTTATCTCCACGGGCGAATGAGGAGCGAGGAAATAAGTTCTCTCCTACTATACATAATCCACAAGACGAGTGGTAAACTTCAATTTTCCTTTGTGTTACGATGTTTATTTTTGTTGTATTGATTTTGTATTAACACTCACATATTCCACATGGGGTACCGTCCAGATATGAATTTTACAAGTTATGAACCCACGCCCAGTTGGAATATGCGTAGTTTTGGTGTGTTGGATCATGGTGGTCCATCCGGGAGTCATCACCAACAGGATAATGTCCATCATGGAATGTCAACACATTACGACTTGTAAGTGAAGTGATATAGCTATATGTAAAGTATTTATCAATTTGAGTAGCTTACTATTTTGTTGTTCGTGCAGTGAAAACGAGCAACTTGATGGTCCTGTCCTCACTTAGTTGCCCGTAGACGACGTATTTACTCGGGGTTTGGCAGATGCGCAGAGTTAGGAAGATAATAGTGATTATGACAACAATGCCGATGAGTCTGGAGATGACACACCCTTCCTTGACGAGGGTGATGATGAGGAGGAAGAGAATGCCGAACCCGATTTGACGAAGGAGCATGCTCCACCTCCCGTTAGACCAAGAGTGTACGAGTCCCACGTGCCGTTTTATTCAAGGCATATTCCCTACCTTGATCATTTGCCAAGTATGCCAGATGTGGATGCCCTCACGAGGGATTTTGATGAAATTCGGACAGCAATGTGGGATGTGTCTAGACAACCGATGCTAGCAAAGGGCATGCTTTTTCCAAATAAAGCGCGCCTAAGCAGGGCGGTGAAAATGTACAGCGTAAAAGTGTGCCGTGAGATGATGGTATGGGAGTCATCTCCAGATGTATACAAGGTTGTTTGCCGTAGATGGTTTACGGGTTGTCATTGGATGGTGCGTGTGAGCAAGAAGAAAACAAGTATGTGGAAAGTGGGTAAATATATTGGCACCCACAATTGTGAAATGGACACATTCAATGGGAATCACTTCAACTTGGATATTGACTTGATTTCTCTTCAACTGATTCCACACATTGAAGCGTCCATAAGGTACAAGATCAAAGAGTGTATTACATCCGTCCACCAGGAATATGGGCATACTATTACCAAAAGAAAGACATATCTCGGGCCCAAACGTGCATTTGAAATTATTTATGGTGACTGGGATAAGTCATTTGCATCTCTACCCAGGTACATGGCCGCATTGCAACACTTTAACCCCGGGACTGTTGTTAAATGGAAGCTTGAGCGGAGTGCAGAAATACCAGAATATATATTCAGATACGTGTTCTGGGCTTTTAAACCAGCAATTGATGGTTTTGTGCATTGACGTCCGATAATATCCATAGACGATATTCATGTCTATTGAAAGTATGATATTAAGCTGTTGATCGCCGTTGCAGTAGATGCCACTGGACAAATATTTCCCCTAGCTTTTGCCATCTGTGCTAATGAAAGACAAGAGACGTGGACGCTATTTTTGAACCACTTGAAGGAGCACGATGTCAAACAAGGCTCGGGTATTTGTCTAATATCTGATCGGTATGGGGGTATATTAAGTTCTATAGAGCATTTGCCTGAATGGCAGGAACTGTATGCATACCATCGTTACTGTGTAAGGCACCTGAAGGCCAATTTCCAGAAGAAATATCCAACAAGGACTTGCATGATTCAATATGGATGGCTGCAACTGATCACTAAGAGTGCAAATTCAGGAGGCGCATGGAATTGATCCGGCAAGAAGACGAAAGAGCCTATCATTGGTTGATGCGACATGAGCTTCACAAGTGGAATTGCATGTGGATGGTGGCAAACGACGGGGAACCCTAACTACAAATGTGTCGGAGTCTTTCAACGGGTTATTGAAGTCTGCACGTGGATTGCCTGTCACTACCATGGTGCGGATGTCATTCAAACAGATGGCGGAGAGATTTGTTGAAAGGCATAGAGGTGCATCGGAATTGATGGAGAGGGGTGTTGAATTTATGCCAATACCAATGAAAAGATTTGAGAAATACAGGAGACGAGCACATTGGCATTTATTTTTACAGTATTGTAACGAGCGAAATATTTTTGAAGTTCGCACCGCTATCCATCAAAATCGGGGGAATAATATACACACCGTAAATGAATCCAGCAGGTTATGTTCTTGTGGGAAATGGTCCATCTATCGCATGCCATCAAGTGCTTTCAACATATAGGTTTAGGGCCAACCAACTATGTTGATAAGCAATACAGTGTTGCTGCATACTTAAACACATATAATGGGCAGTTGCAGCCAGTGGGTGCTGAGCATTATTGGCCGCCGGAACCATTTAAAATGGTGTGTAACAAGAACTATTTGCGTAAGCTACAAGTATAAAAAAATAACGCGTATACGGAACCAAATGGATGTTGGTGATACCGTTTATGCGCGTAAATGTGGCATATGCTCGCAAACAGGACACGATCGTCGTAAATGTCCTTCAGCTGGTTTGGGTGGCGGTGGTAATCCAGCTCCTGGTGGAAGTTCATCTAATGTGCCCAACTATCAAGGATACACGTAGTATTTTATTTTTGTAATGTGTTTGTAATAAGTGTATGTACTTGTTTATATTGCAAAATGTATGAAAGAAAATTATGTTTCCATTATTGTTATATTTAACATTAATACTTCGGTACAACAATCTAACATAAACCCATTTAGACAACCAAAATAATTTCTTCGCCATTATCGTCGCTGTCTGGAACTATTTCATTGTCACTGCCTTTAACTTCGTCGTCAACATCGTGTATGTACCCTTCACATACCTTCAGGCTTTGTAGCAACCTACCATATTTTTTTCAAGGTAGGGATCGATAGTGTTAAGACGTCATCCATGGGGATCTGTTGAACTACCTTCATCCTTTTGCCTCTTTTTGAACCACTTGTTAAGACGTCATCCATGGATGTTGTGAGGTTTATTCAAATGGTCTTTGAGATACATATGACTTGGTTCAGTTTAAGAAGCTTTCTTATACCCGAAATAATGATTACTACGCGAATCATAGCGCGGTTACATACCACGTTATGTGTATGTCTTGTCGACCTAATAAAGCTGCTATTCTGTCAAAGCTATCTTCTGGAAAAGCTGTATTGTACCGAAAAGAATCATTAGCACGCGAAGCATATCGCGGTTACATACCACTCTATGTGTATTGTCTTGAAGTCAGGGTGTGGGACTGAGCCTTTCGAATGAGAAAGAAGAAAAGTGCTTAGTTTCGTTGGAAAAACCAACGCAAATATCATATTGACTTTCTCTCGCCCTACTTCTAAAGATAGATAGAAAATGTTGGAGAGAATGACTTTTGTCGAGCTGATAAAGTTGTCGTTCTACAAAAGCTGCTTGCCTGGAAAAGCTGTATTGTACCGTAAAGAATCATTAGCACGCGAAGCATAGCGCGATCACATACCATGTTATGTGTATTGTCTTGCCGAGCTGATAAAGCTATCGTTCTGCAAAAGCTGCTCGCTTGGAAAAGCTGTATTGTACCGTAAAGAATCATTAACACGCGAAGCATAGCGCGGTTACATACCACGTTATGTGTGTTGCCTTGCCTATAAATAACTAGCGAATTTTAGTTATTATCTGCGCTTAACCAAAACAAATAGCAACACTTTCCATAAAGTAGGTTTTTGTTTTTCATTAACAAATGTCTAAACGTATTTATGTACCAATGTGCTATTGTGGCAAACATTGTATGGTGTCGGACTATTGGGAGGATGGTCATGTAGGGCGCATATACTGGATATGTGTAAACAGGTTTGGAGGCAACAACGGAAATTATTGCAATTATGAGGTATGGCTTGATGAACCCTGTAAGCAGGAATGCTGCAAACGATCTTTGCAGTATTATCATGATACGAACAAAAGATACGAACGTGATGAAATTGAAATAAAACGAGAAATTACGGAGTTGAAGGAGAAACTAAAAGAGGCGGAAAAAAATAAGCTGGAAGAGAAATTTAAGTGGTTGGAGCAGAGAACCCACCTCCTAGCTAGAGGGA